TTGGCGAATCATGGTGGCTTTAAAAAATATTGCAACAAAAAAGGGCGGATTTTTAGCTGTTCATCAAATTTTTGAGTACTTAGACGAAAACTTACTTGGGAAACTAAAAAGTTTGGTGTTTTTAAATGAAATTACATTTGGGTATTTTTCAGAATGCAAATGTTTTGTGGCCAAATTAGGCTATGAGCAGGCACGGTCACCACTCTGCGATGCTTGCGTTAATGCCAGACGTAAGAAGGCAGAAGAAGAACGTGAAGAACTATCAGAAAAGAGGTTAGAAGGACTTTAATATGATCTTTTTTTAAAACCTTTTACTATTGAACTTTTATCTTAGATCGGGACAGTCATCTTCTCGTTCATCTTTCGAACTTTCGCCTGCTGTTGAAGCAACGGTATGAGCTATCTAGAGGCTTCACATCAGTAAATGACTTGCTGAGACTTTTAGGTCCCTGAAAAAGAGTTAAAGGCTGAGTTGAAGAAGGTTGACGTGGCAACCCCAAAAATCCAGGAACTTGAAGAAAACGACAAGGTCTGCAAGAAATCTTCAGTCGTAAGTTTTCATTTTTAAAGAGCTGGCCCATATAACAAAATCATTCTTTCTAGGACAATCACTTCCATATGTGCAGTACCGATAGTGACTCATCCGACTCGGAGTTTGAAGCGCTATCATATGAGGAAGAAAAGGAGAACAAGGAGTGAGTAGTTTATTAATCAATATATGTAAAAATCTGGAAATATCGGAAATTTTCAGAACTCCAAATGCACCATTCCTAACGCCGCCGGAGGGGAATACGTTGAATGTTGCTGCTACGGAGGTGTCCAATAACTCGGTAACATTTCTTCACAGAATTTGGTAAAACGTCATATTTTATTGTTCCAATTTTAGACCCCAACTACGACTTTGTACCCCACTCTAGTCGTAGAAGACCAACCTGCAGAGCCAGTTCGTATTGGAGAGGATCAGACTATTGTAATTTACATTCTAGCATAATTTCTACTTCCATGAGCACGTCTTTTTTAGGCAAATCGTCTAATCGAAATGGGATTCTCGGCAGAAGAAGTGTTCCGCGTTGTAAGAATGCATGGATGCAACTTCGAACGTTGCA